AGCAGCAGCAACTAACAAAAGTTACTGAAGCATTTCACCCAAATACCTTTCACATAACTGCCCTCAAATTAGCATCCATCTTTCTCAGTTGAAAAGACATGACAAATCCTGGGCTAAAACACACTTCCTCAAAACCAGGAAAAGGCAAGTCCTACCAAATCTAAATTGAATATAGATAAATACGGCTAAATAAAAAAGTTTTAGCATATATCCAAACTGAAGATTCTATATGCACAGTAAATATGCTTTGAGTTTGTATGCCTTTACACAATGAATATACTCAGATTTCCTATTTGACTCTATAGCTATCAAAGATCTTCTATATAATCAACTTCTAAGATACCACAATGAACAGCAAAACATCTTTATGATCCACTATTTATAGAAAACACACTGATTCAGAAAGTCTACCTTCACAAATGCAAACACCATTCACTTCGACAAACTAAAGGATACTCCACTGGAGAATTGGGCCATATTTTAAAATCATATGCATAACAAGTCCAAGTCTGCTATTCAAAATACCGGTTCTGTATTGGCTGGTTGTCATAACCTACACCGACCCAGAACCAAATAGAAATAAAGCTGTAATGGTGAAGTCCTCATAATATTTAAAAATGATGGTATTTTTATATCTAAAGAGATCGTTATTAATTTATTTAGTACTCTTTGACTGAAACAAAAATATTTTAGTATTTAATAAGAATACTGTCTTACTAGAAGAGCTGATACGAAATCTTATCCAACCTTGTGCTAGAAACTCTGGTCTACACTAGGGACACTGTCGTGAATATTTCACCTGATTTAAGAGTGACAAATAGACATGAAAGTTTCTTTTACTGCTGAAATTCACAAGCAGTTAATAAATACCTATCAGTACCTGTCTCTTTTTAAAAACAGCTCATGATAAAAAAAAATAACTAGTAAATAACAAAGAATTCTCTTAAGTTTTATGGTCAATAATTTTAATATTTTTCAAAAAAGTACAAAACATTTCTCTGGAAAAATACTTGAACAAAATAAAACAGCCAGGCATAGTTGTTTAATCACATTTTAATATCCTGACACAGTAAGGAATTATGTTTTTGTATAAACTATTCATGGCAAAAATAATCCATGCTTTTTATTGTTAATAAAATGAAAAGTAACGTAGAACTCTCCATGAAGTTTAGCTTCTAAAATTCCCTTCCATTACTTACTGTCATCTTACCTTTTCTTTGATTACAGTTTGTTTTAGGTGCCCAGCAAAGTCTCAAACTTTGGTAATTCGTTTCCTCATCACAAACCAAAGTTCTAGTCAAGCAGAAATCTATCACTGCAAGTAAGAAAAAAAACCTAGTAGTATTACCAAACAATTTATCCTCATGGCACTGGAAATAATACTGGTTGATTCTGTGTTATCACAAAAGGAAAGTTTCAATTATTTGAAAACCAATAAGGAGAACACTAGATTATTATAAGCAACCAGACCTTGGATACTCTGAATTCTAATGAGCTGTAAATAGATTTTAACATAACTATAATAAACAGCGCAGATTACAAGCATTAAAAGGCACTCATTTCTGCATTTAGGCATTCTATATCAGAATTAGATTAATCCGATGCAATTATTTCAAAATACAGTCAGAATGTGAATAAGAAGCTTAAGGTACTTGTAACATGAGGTCTGATTCTGCTCGTTACTGCATTTAAAATTATTTTCCCCCTCCAGTAAAGATTAAAATCAACATCCCACTCAGCAGCTCTACTATTTGTTTATATATTCAGATTTAAAACTGCTCCCTATTGTGAAAAAAATAAATTCATCAACAACTGTCAAAATTAAACTTCAACAGCAATGCTCTGTAAAACAGTGACATGTTATGCAGATTTAGGCTAGCACAAGTAAGGAAAACATTACAAATGCAGTGTATAAACAACAACAAGATTTAGATGACTTACCATATTTAACGTCAGGAACTGTTACAGAGCTCTCAGCTATATTTGTAGACAGAATAACCTGAGTTTTGAAGCAAAAAAATGAGCAACAAACACATAAAGAAAAATTACTCAGATTAATGTTTCTACATGAAAACACCAACTTGCTATGAAGAAATATAAATGTAATGGCAACATAGTATTTCTGCTCTGCATATAAAGAAAGCAATACAACACAAGAAAACTTGTATTTTCTTTTCCTAAGATCAGAAAAGAAAAATAAAATAGTATAATACATGACAACGTAGAGAAAGAAAGGAAGTATTTCTTTATTCCTTTGTCATAACAAAACATCACATTATTAGCAGTGATAAAGAAAACCAAGACAGTAGCCAAAATGCGGGGGTACAAAGCAAGTGAGACTCTCCCATACTGGAGGACCACTTTGCCATGCAGTACCACGAGCAGCACACTACTGTCACGCGGATGCAAGACTCGACATGCACAAACTGCTGTGAAGGATAAAACCAGAGTTACACAAGAACTTAAGGATAACTTCCTGTTATTGCACTTCTCGAGGTTTAAACGCCAGTTAAAGCAACAGCTTGGTTAAGAAAAGCAATCAGTTTACATCTTGAAAAAACGAAAGTGCTTTGCCTTCAAACACTGGTTTGAGTTGGCACAGCTAATATTCATTTACATACATTATTATTTGCTATTATTACTCTAGCAAAAGGTTTCACACACTTAATAAAAAAGTAATGATTAAACGATATTTACTTTTCTGTAGCCAGGAGCTGTAGTCAAAAACACACTACTTTGTTCCTCTAATGACAAAGTTGAGTGAAGTGGGTACACTTGCCACCTAAAGAAAATATATTGGTGAAATATTTACTGGTGCAAGAACATAAAAATCAGTTACACCTCTGTGCTGAATCGTATTATGTACTTAGAACTCATACAGCTGAAGGATTCATGTTCAAGTTTAACTGAACTGAAACAAGTGTGGTCTAACTTACCTTTTGTTAAACTTATTTGAAAGACATGAATGCATGTAGCTTATCTCACTCAAACCTATGGAGAAAAAAGTAATCAAGAGTTTGCTTTCTTTTTAGTAATCACTACCAATTCTAAAAGCGATTCTCACGTCTACTTAAATTCTTAATTGACTTTCATTACTACCTCCTTTTCACCACATAATAAAACAGTAGAAGAGTTAAACAGTAGCTGTAATAATGAGTCATTGAAACACTAAGAGTAATTAATTTTCCAAGAGTAATTTTGCATAATTTTACAGTTACTAAAGTGGCAATATCAGATATAAAGGCCATCTGCAAGCATCCCATTATCAGCCCTTCTTTCAGTTCCTTACACCTGCCAACACTGACCACATGCTGAATATCTGGTATTTCAGAGTAAACTGGGTATTTCAGCCTGTTGTGGTTTAGGTGGCTCCGGCAATTAAACTCCACACAGCCGCTTGCTCACCCGCCCCACCCCCCCGGGATGGGGAAGAGAATTAAAGGAGAAAAAGGAGAGAGACCCGTGGGTTGAGATAAGAACAATTTAATACTACTACTACTTATATATTAATACACGCATATATGTACAATGATAAATATATACGAACGAGTGATGCACGGTGTAATTGCTCACCACTCCTTGACCAAGGCCTGTCTCATCCGGAACTACTGATCCCGAAACAGTTAAGTCCTGATACCACAATCCCAGAGGAGTGAGAGGCCCGAAAATAGAGAGCGAGAAAGACAGAGCACTCCAAGAGTCCAAGAGTGAGAGAGAGCAAAGGCTTGTCGTTGGTCATACAAAATAATTCTTCTTCCAGGTCACTTGATAGAGAGGGTTAACAATGACAGAGAGGGTTAACAATCTGGCTATAATCTGGAATATGCATTCTCCAGAAACCCACACCACCTAAGAAAAGCTTGTGCTTCCTTTTTGTTGGTTGGTGGAGACAGCTGTTATTTTATTAATCACATCCATTGGAATCCGACGGCACTTGTCTTACCATTTGATTCCTAAAAAAAAAAAAAATCAATCTCCCGGGTAGGTCCCTTGACCTTACTTTGTTTTATGGCAAAACCAGCTTTCAGAAGGATCTCAACTGTTTTCTCACCTTTCTTGAAAACTTCTTCTGCTGTGTTGCCCCAGACAATGATATGGAATACTTACTGGTCAGTTTGACCCTCAATCCTAAGTCTAAGTACAAATCACAAGGAGAGTCATGGACCCCCTGTCCCGGCCGTGCTCCCCCCTATCCTGTTGTGCTCCTGCACACTGGCAAGAACACGGCAGCTGAAAAGTCCTTGAGACCTCAATGCCAACTACAAACATCAGTGCGCTGTCAGCGTTCTTCTCAGAGCAAGTCCCAGACTAAAATCAAAACATGAAGCTCTTCTAGCTGCTAAAAAGAAGAGCTGACTCTGTCCCAGCTGAAACCAGGACACAGCCAAAACATGCCCTTTTCAAGAGCAGGGCCAAGGAAAAAAAAAAAAAGTTATTTCTGCCTTACCCTTACTTTGGCAGTTCCAGTGCCCATTCTTTGGGGCATGGATTTCACATCTGCCAGGGAAAATTGTACAATTAAGGGATTTTTGCTGTCTTCTTGAATACTTCCAGAAGTGTAAACCTTTCTGAGAAGCCTAGTTTACTTCTCACTGAGACTTCAACTCCAAAAGTCCCATTTTCAAAACTCTGTTCAACACTGAGCTTCCCCAGTTGGATATTAAAAATGAAATTATTCTGTAACTGCAGTACAGGATTGCTGCAATTTTCAGTGAGGCTAAATGCAGTCTGAATGCCTGGATGTGAAAATTCTTGCACTCTTTAGTTGACTATTACTTGACTTCAGAAGTGAGAAGGAAGGACGACAAATATAAGTGGAGAAAGAGAGGTATTTTCAGGAAAGATATGAGAGAAGAATAACTTAAATGAGAGGAAAGAAGGATATGTGATAGGTGGGAAGGCATGATCAAGTTAAGGTAAGCAAGGAAAAAAGGCCAGAAAGCAAGAAACTGGGGCAAGAAAAGGTGAAACAGATTCAACAAGAAATCAACATGGTAATAATACAAGGTCAGCTAGGAAAAGAAATCTCCAGAGAACGCGGAGATTATTCAACTGCTAATCAAGACTGAAACTGGAAAATGAGGGGAAGTGATTATAGGTAAGGGAAATAAAAGAAGTCAGGGTTGTTGAGAGAACAGGTGAGTTGGAGGAGTCAGAAAAAAAAAAACGCGGTGAGGCAATCAGAGGGAAATTTAAAAGTTTCAGAGATGTGTTTTGTGTGAGGCTACTACAGGGGAAAGCAATGTCATTAAACCTAAAAAAAGACAGCTAGGAAGCCTAATTTACATCACAGCTCATAATGAAGTAAGAGTACTTGAGAATGCAAATAACTGGCCAAATAACAAAATAGTGACTAGCACAATAATGAAGCAATTAACAAAGCTCGAAGTGAAACACCTTTGCACTGTAGAGAAAAACATGCAGACTGGGAAATGTAAAAACAGTACCACTTTTTAAGATTATTATAACACAGAAAAAAAAGGTGTCTGTTCATGAATTAATTGGTATGTAATTAAAGAAAGAGCGAAAACACCATGATATGGTCTGTTTGGACACGGCCTGCCAGATCTGCTCGATCCCACTAGGTGCTGGTTGACTATCTCGCTGTCTACTGCTTCATACTTGCCATACTGCCTGGTGACATATCTGAGTAAGATATCAAAGCTGTAATTCGATTTAAGTGTTAAAAACAATTAAAAGAAGCTTGACACATGGTTGGCAGAAGCTAACTCTGCATAACCAATACTAATATTATTAATCAGTCTAGTAATTATTGACTAGACACAGCAAGTAGTTATCTGCTGCCCAGTTCTAGAAGTGACAAGAGCTGATCACGTCACCTGCAGAACAAAAGGATGCAACCAGGAGAAATAGATCTTGGAATGAAAAAGTAACTAGCAACTAAATCTGTTTGGCAAACCTACCAGGACAATAAGGAGAGTGGGGCATGGGGAAGTGCGAAACAAAACACAAAACAGAGATTGACACAAGTAGAACAGATAAGAGCTTAGGACAGTAACAGCAGAATCCCTTTGAAAGAAAACCCTAAAGCTTTAAGCTATGCACTTCCTGCCATCAGCAAGCCCACACTAAGCACAGAGAAATCAGGCTACCACCATCTTCTGCAAGCTCCTGAAGTGGATGACAACCTACTGTTGCTTTCATGTAGCCCGTCAGCTAGTCTGGCAGAAACACATCTTATACTTGAAGGCGTAGTTCAGTGATGATTCAGTCAACATAGTCTGACCTCTTTTTCCAATCTGTCCTTTAGAAAGTCTGAAGAATTACACATCAATGTAACACTAAGGCTGCCACATCAAGCACTCAAACAGAAAACCGCCATCATTAAGACTGGTTATGCAAACTTAATGCAGCCCACTGGGAACATATTTCTGCATAAATGTTAAAAATAAATAAATCACCGTACAGTTTAACATGGCACTTTATATCACCTAGTACCTAAGGACGGACTAGCTCTGGTATCAAAGGAGAGCTGAGTATCGAAGAATATTTCATAGAATAGTTAGGGTTGGAAGGGACCTTTAAAGATCATCTAGTCCAACCCCGCTGCAGTGAGCAGGGACACACACCTTCAACTAGACCAGGTTCCTCAGAGCCCTGTCCAACCCGACCTTGAAAACTTCCAGGGATGGAGCATCTACCACCTCTTTGGGCAACCTGTGTCAGTGTTTCACCACTCTCACTGTAAAAAATTTCTTCCTTATATCTAGTCTGAATCTACTGTCTTTCAGTTTAAAACCATTGACTCTTGGTCCTATCGCAACAGGACAGGTGCTAAAAAGTTTGTCCCCAACTTTCTTATAAGCCCCCTTTAAATACTGGAAGGCTGCTACAAGGTCTCTGTGGAGCCTTCTCTTCTCCAGGCTGAACAAACCCAACTCTCTCAGCCTGTCTTCATAGGAGAGGTGTTCCACTCCCTGATCATTTTTGTGGCCTTCCTCTGAACCTGCTCCATGTCTTTTCTGTGCTGAGAAAGCCAGAGCTGAACGCAGTATTCCAGGTGGGGTCTCACAAGAGCAGAGTAGAGGGGCAGGATCACCTCCCTTGACCTGCTGGCCACGCTTCTTTGGATGCAGCCCAGGATGCAGTTGGCTTTCTGGGCTGCAAGTGCACATTGCTGGCTAGCATGGAAAGCATGTCCAGCTTTTCATCCACCTGCACCCCGAAGTCCTTCTCTTCAGGGCTGCTTGCAATCCCTTCATCCCGCAGCCTGAACTGATACCAGGGATTGTCGCGACTCAGGTGCAGGACCTTGCACTTGGCCTTGTTGAACCTCATGAGGTTAACAAGGGCCCACTTCTTCAGCTTGTCCAGGTCCCTCTGGATGGCTTCCCATCCCTCAGGCATGTCAACTGGACCACTCAGCTTGGCGTCATCTGCAAACCTGCTGAGAGTACACTTGAGCCCACTGCCCATGTCATTGATGAAGATATTAAACAGTACTGGTCCCAGTATGGACCCCTGAGGAACACCATTTGTCACTGATCTTCATCTAGGCATCGAGCTGTTGACCACTACCTTCTGGACGTGACCATCCATCCAATTCCTCATCCACCAAACAGTCCATCCATCAAATCCGTATCTCTCAAATTTAGAGAGAAGGATGTTGTGGGGGACCGTGTCAAAGGCCTTACAGAAGCCCAGACAGACGACATCAGTAGCCTTTCCACTGTCCACTGATGTAGTCACTCCATCACAGAAGGCCACTAGGCTGGCCAGGCAGGACTTACCCTTGGTGAAGCCATGCTAGCTGTCTCAAACCACCTCCCTGCCCTCCAGGTGCCTTAGCGTAGTTTCTAGGAGAATCTGTCCCATGATTTTCCCAGACAGAGAGGTAAGGCTGATAGATCGGTAGTTCCCAAGGTCGTCCTTTCTATCTTTTTTAAAAATAGGTGCAATGCTTCCCTTTTTCCCCGTCACCAGAACTTCATCTGACTGCCATGACTTTTCAAATATCATGGAGAGTGTCTTGACAACTGCATCAGCCAATTCCCTTAGGACTCCAGGATGCATCTTGTCAGGTCTTAGACTGACTTAGTCATACACAGACTTAGATATGTTCAGGCTCCTCAGATCATGAACCTGATCTTCTTTTACAGTGGGAGGGACTTTGCTCTCCCAGTCTCTGCCTTTCAGTCCATCCATTCAAGAGGTCAAGGAAGAGAGGTTGTCAGCAAAGACTGAGGCAAAAAATGTTGCTGAGTACTTCAGCCTTCTCCTCATCCGTTGTTACCAGTTTGACCGTCTTGTTCATCGGGGGGAGTCCACTTTCTTTGACCTCCCTTTTCCGGCTGACATACCTACAGAAGTCCTTCTATTTATTCTTTGCATCCCTTGCCAAGTTCAGCTCCAGTCATGCCTTGGTCTCCCTGACCCCATCTCTACACAAACAGGCAGTGTCCCTGTACTCTTCTCAGAATACATGTTCCTGCTTCCACTGCCTGTGCATTTCCTTCTCGCCCTTTAGTTTGACCAGTGAGTCTTGACTCAGCCATGCAGGTCTCTTGCCTTCCTTGCCTGATTTCTTACACCCGAGGATTGAAAGCTCTTGTGCCCTACGGAAAGCATCCTTAAAGATCTGCCAGCTCTGTTCTGCTCCCTTGTCCCTGAGGGTAGCTTCCCAGGAGGTCCTATTTACTAACTCCTTGAAGAGCAGATTTTAATCCTTAAAGAATTAAACTCAGTAACAAAAAAAATTAAGCACTGAACAAGACATGCAATTACAACAGGAAGGGAAAATATGGCATCCTACTCGAGACAGCTGCAGCTGCTCTATGGAAGTGGATTCTGCCCCATCACAGAGATCCACAAAAACAGTGGGCAAAACTCGCTTAACAGTACTCCTCAGCATGGCACTACTCTTTCTAGCTCCTGATGCCTACTCAGCTTGAAATGTCAATGGGAGTGTTATTTTGAATGTACAAAATGCTATGTAATTGTAAGCGCTCAAAAAATCCAGGCATCTCAAATCAGTGTCCTAAATGTGGAGGTTATTTTTATCCAAATCTCTGTCTCAGCTGCCCTCTTGTAAACTGAGGGCTCTCTTCTTTTTTTCTCCACTTCTGTATAAAGATTATTTGTGAAGAAAATTTCAAGAGGCGTTTGCTAATCCGGTGTTCAAGATCAGTCTTGAGTATCAAGTTATAAAACAGGCTGAGGTCAAACACTGAACAACAACAATAAAAACCCAACATGAGTACCAGCTCATTCAGAAAGCACTATCTGCACAGGCTTTCATAAATTTACTGAATGTATTTAAACAAAATTTTTTGTTTTATCAGTTGCAGTTATAAGCCATCAGGGATAGCAGCATAGTTTTAAAAAAAAATAATATTTGGGGAACTGGAAGTGTTAAAGAGTAATTTCAGTCTGAAACAAAGACTCAGAGGGCCTGAGGAAGTCTGAAAGCACACCAGATAAACACCAATACGAGAGGCCAGAGGCAACAGAGTTGGACTCCCTACTTTATTCATGGCAAACTGGAATGGGTCCTACACTGACACGATGAAGTAATTCCTTCTACCCATTGATTTCATAGAGAAGGTAACTGCAAGAAAGGCAGCACTAATGCCTTTTAGGTGGTGGGGAGCACCCACCACTGAAAGCTACCCTGCAAGTGCAGTAAATATTTGTGCTGGTATGCTGCATTTTCAGCCCTAGCACTAGCACATCTACTGCTAAGCTCAACACAACAGAGAAATACATTCATAAAGATTTTATACAGAGTTAGAAATTCCTGGTAGGGACAGACCTCACTATGCCCAAGGAAATAGCTGCTCCTGACTCCAAGGTGACTCTCCACTAGAACATGTCCAAGTCTTTTCAAAGTTTTCAACTAGCAAACTTTCAAGTCCATGAGGTCAAAGAATAAATGACAGCATCAGGTAGTAGGTTTGTGATGCTCGAGAAACCTAGGCTGCAACCTAGTTACACAAAAATTATTGTATGCTTTTGCTTTGGTATTCTTAGTTGAACCCCTTCGCTGGATTTTAGAGGCAGTGTAAGAGTGGTTTAGACATTAGGTTTACTGTTTAAAGACGACTAAAACTATGTATAACCAGTTCTCTGACCATTACACATGACGTCACCCTGTGTGCTTTTGAGCATTCTTACAACACCAATCAATGCACACGGAAACAAAAAAAAAGTGAATTTTAACTTTTACTACAAGAAACTAAATAAAATCCAGGGAAGATACTACATCACAGGCATATAAGAAAACGTCTCTAAAAGCATCCTAGGAACTTCATAAAATATTTAATAACTAATCTAAAAAAACTGAGCAACTGAATTTCTGTGGATTAACTGTAGAATTAATTTTATTACTCTAACTTCGTTTCTAAAACATATGAAGTCTTGATTTTTTACTCACTGCTCTTCCTATTATTGCCATATTTAAACAGGTTTGCAAGAAAAATACTCAAATAGACCAACATACCCCAGTTAAATATGTGTTTAGCAAATCCTTGGAAGAAGCACCAGAATAAAGTTTGTTAGATGATAAACAAGGAAGAAGAAAATTATTAAGGTATATACTCACCTGGTAAAAATACTAGCACACTTCCATGTTCTGATGTAACATTCAAGGTTTTTTTCTTCCTAACAAGCATATGCAGTTTCATTAGTTTTACAACCTCAGCCTACTTCATTATCCCAAGATATTTTATTTTGAAAGAACAAGCAAAACTGCACCTTTTTTTTAAACATGTAGTATTTAAACTTCCCGAAGAAATGGAATTTAAAACACTATTTTGCAACTATGCTTTCTGAAAAACACAGTATATAAAAATCAGAAGTAGATCATTAGGTTTAGTTTTGTCTTCAAAATTATGGCAAAACAGAAACAGTCTTATTTATCAGTGAAATTAATCAAATTTAAGTTAATAAAGATCTAAAATTAAAAGGTAGTAGACTACTGCAGAACTCTATGCAAACTTAGTCAGTAATTTCTCAAGTATATGTAATACCTCTCGCATTCTAAAAAGATCACTTGACACCTTTAACAAAAGCCTAGCATGTTTAGACCAAAGTTGTAGAAGCAACTTTACTACATTTTCAGATACTAAACATCAATTTACAAAACGCAGAGTAACAGAAACTAATAGTTACTTATTTCAAAAGACAGTATGGCATTAGTTAAACAGCCAGTAAAAATTAATCCCTAGTTTGTATTCTTTTTCATGGGTCAATGTATATTTTAGTTTACAATACAAAACGGTGTTTCTGGTTTTACTCTTCATGCAAGTAATATTCAGCTCTGGTCTGCAGCACATAATCTAGTTTCCATATGACATGGCTGGCTTGAATGGTCACTTACACTCCAGGGCATGAGGTGTATTTCAAGAACACAGGGCATTCGGTAAGACCTACAAGCAGTCTTAGTATGACTAACCTGAGTAGAAATCACATGAATATATAAAATAAAAGCAGCGGTGCCCAGAAAATTAAGTTACCACTAATAACTACAATACATGGGCTGCTGCTGTTTCTTAATTAGTTTCTAATTTCCCCAAAGAATCACTGATTCCGGATCTTGAACTGTATCTTACCTATCGCTCTTCATCTCCAACTCATCAAATGACTCAATCAAAGACACTGCTACTTCATACATTTGCCTCAGTATCACTGGTTCCTCAATTCTTTGAGAAGGAAGCTGAGCAGAGAAGAAAGTACTGAGGTTAACACAACATAAGAGGCTAAAAGATTGCAGATCATGTATGTGTGTTGCTTGGTCAAATACTTTTTGATTACAACTGATTCAGCACAAAAGCTGTACAAAGAAGTAAGTTAATCTGGAGCATTCATTACCTCCTAAACAGACATTTTCCTTCGAGCATCCTACCACGCTAATGCTGAAGAAATGCTTCTGATATTTACCTACTTAAGATAAGCACTAGCCCACGCTAGCACACATCCCCTAACGCCTGAAGGACATAGTCCTTATCCAGGACTGTTAAGCAAGTGAGACTAAGCACAACCCATGGGAACAGAATGGGAATTTGTATAAGGCAAGCCCAATCCTTCTCACAGGTCCTATAATGCAGGCCTCTATCTGATTGCCAAATAAATCATGTACCTTTCTCATTTAAATTTTCTTTGCATTTAATGGATCTTGTGTTTTCGGTCATATCCTGTCAAAGAACTATTGTTCTGTTGTACACACATAACCATGATGAGTCACATCTACACTGTTTTCTAGTATTCTGTCACAAACTCAGGGCTTTAATATTTAAGAACACAAACCATCAAGTCTTCAGAGCAAAGACAGTAACTTAATTGCATTTCAGTTTTAAAAAGAAAATGCTTAACGAACTAGAAATACCCTGAGAACACTCTATGTTATTCCAACTTTTTTCCTTGTAGG